CTGTTAATTCTTAACACGTTGGCTTTCTTTCCCTTCAAATATTGATGGGTAAGGACGCACAGACCCACACAGGCAAGCGCATGGGCAAGTGTCGGTGAGCGAGCCTTGGTCTTGTAGGGTGCAGGCTGAAGTTCTTTTGTGAAAGAATGAGTATTTTAGTGTGACAGTACCTGGGTAGATGATTCCACCCTCTCCCTCTAGATGACAGCAGAACACTAGCCTTGCCGTAAGGGCTTGTCTCTTAAATGTATTTCAAAAGAATATTGTTATTTGTTATCCTGCTTGATTACTCTTTTAAAGAGGTTGGATTACTCTGTAATATATTGCCCTGCTTCAAAACAAACTCTGCATACTTTGGACCACTGATAAAAAGAAAAAGCACCAGGAGTTTAAACATGTTCTTTTATGAGTATCTGTTTCTACAAACATGAAACATGTTTGCACCTGTGATAAATACCTCTGTATTTCACAGGTAAAACACGAATCAGATGCTTCTTGACAAGCAAGATCCTGAGCCCTCAGAGGCATCCTCCTTTCTAACACCTCATGAATGCACTTTTCTGGAGATGAATGCGGAGGAGTACATCTGTGCCAGGGCAATGCTTGCCAGGTGAGCATTGTGGTTTGGTTCTTGCACCTTTCCACAAAGAGGCAGATAAAGCCAGTGCTATGATGTGAGCTCCCTGCCTTGGGCTGCATCTTCTTCCGGCTGGCCCGGTAAATTCCTCTCACGCCTCTGGCCAGGGACAGCTCTCCAAAGCAGGCTCCCTTCTGCCACCGAGGCGGGTCGAGCTGAAGTGCCTCATCCTGCTGCTCTGGGCTTTCCCACCCACCTGCTGCTGCCACCCAGTTCAGGGCTCTCGGTGGCTGCTTCTCTAAGTGGTGTTTGCTGCAAGAAAGACAAGGTGGTCTCTCTCTCTTGCCTCACAGCCCACAAGGCCTTTGCCTGTGTGGGTTCTGGCCCTTAGCTGTGTTGTTTTTTTCTGTATGGAGGCCTTTGCAGCTCATTTTTCTAGAGTGTTTCTGCTGGGAGACCTTTTGACTGCTGAGTTAGAGACAGAGCAGCATTCACTTTGGCTGTGACACCCAGGGGATGCACCCACATGTACCCTTGGCTCTTTTGGACTGCCTTAGCTTGAACTTGGTTCTGTAGAAAGAAGAAAAACATTGGCAAGCGAATGGAGAAGGTTCTTAGGAATGCAGGTAACAATTTATACTTAGGAAGAAAAGTCAGGAAAAAAATTACACAAGCTCTTAAAAAAACCTATTTAAATGCTATCTGCGCTTCCCCCAAGTGATCTTTGTCTCACAGAGAAACAGGACAAGCTGAACTGTGAAACAGTAAGTGGATTATTAGTTATATATATATATTTTTTACGGGTGGGCTGTTGTTAGCTATTGTGAGAGGTGTTTGGGTATCCCAGTCACACTGCCAAAGGTTTGTGTCTTTGCAGTTGGAGATACAAACAGGGTTTGCTGTTGTGTGTAACAGGAAGAGGGGGAGGAACAGCAACCAGGCGGAGCAGAACTGGGCAGCTTTCTAACATGGCTTTGCATGTGGGTGGGAAGGTTTCCGTTTATCTCCCTGGTTGCCGTCCTTGCTTCTCCAGTCCCAAGCAGCACTGTGAGAGCTGGCTCTGCTTCTTGCCGATTCACAGTAAGGAAAATACAGGAAACATCCAAACTGGTTATTAGTTGTGCTTGCAAGAATGACAGCTTTGGGTTTTGAGGTTGGGGAATGGGAATGACATTAGTGTTTTTTCTACAGTTATATTTGGATTATGTAAAAGCCAGAAAATGGGCTTCATGATAACTTTACCCTATTGATTAAAATACTGCTTCCTTTTTAGGATTTACTTTCTAAATCAGCAGGCGCCGCTACAATAAGACATCTAGAGGGTGTGATTCAGTTTTTCTAGAAATGTAAATCAGTTTAGGAACTAGCAATAAGCAGTTTCAGAGAAAGGTTTTATACTTAAATATTTACTTTGAAAATATTGTGACTTACTCAAATGAAAGTTGCTCTTTTGAATAATTGCTATTTTACCTGTTCTTGGGCTGCAGCAGCTATTTACAAGACACTAAAGTTGTGGATGGGAATACAGGAGGGGGACTTTTTTATCAAAGCTGGAATTTTTGAAGTACAGCAGAGTAAAGTCATTAGGTTTCATAACTTGAAAGTTATTTCAGAGTGTATATATAATATATCCAAGGAAGAGAGGCTGTAGCTTAGCACTTATATCAGGAAAAGGTGAAGTAAGAGAAGCAGTGATTCAAATGAAGGAAGTAAAGACAACAGGATGAAGTTGGTCATTACTAAAATAAACTGGTGAAACTCTAAAGTGGTAGTGGGAGAAAAACCCCAAAACAAAAAAAAAACCCCAAACCCAAAATTTCTCACCTGAAGCACTGATACTTACCACAGACATCGATAAATAAAAATCCCATGTTTTGGATCCTGCTGCTCAATCCCTTACTTGTGAAAGTCCCACTTGTGAAAGGGTAGAGTGTGATCAGGCAAGAAAGAGGCCCAGCCCCTGGGTGGGGGCTTTGTGCTTCAGGAAAGTTCATCAGCCCAGATGACACTGGGTTGTTGAGGGATACTCTTAAGTTGGAACTGTGGGAGATGTGGGAGTGGGACATAGGTATTTGTTTGCCTCCCAGGAAAGGCAATTTTAAATGGCAGGCTCTGACACGTTGCCTTGGCTTGAAAGGAGTGAAGGCCTGTGAAAAGTCACGAGAGACTGGGGTGAAAATTGGTTGGAGAAATCAGTTGTGATAATGATAAAGCCGTGTCTCACCAGGAAAGGTTCAAAAGACTTGAGGCTGATATGAGACTGCGCTTCCAGGTAGTGTCAGGTTGGAGTGTCCCCTGGTCTCTCACCCTCAGGGAAGTAAAATCCTGTAACTGGCAATCATTTTCTGCTGAGCTTCATGGTTTTCTAGTGAGATGTTGCAGTGTTGTAAAGGATAGTTAGATGTAACCTCTCAAAATCTCGTTTTAAATGGTGTCCTGTCACTTTGGACTAACTCACGGTTAAGCTGGAACAATTCTTATTTTCAGCTGTAGTGTCTTTTTTGTCCTCCTCCTCTAGAACAAATTTTGAAGACTATATAAATTGCTATTCTCAAATCTCTTATTTTGCTCCACTTTCTTTCTGGTAATACCAAGGACCCCAGACAAGATCTCTTAGAGCTATGTGCTACAAACATGAGGGAGTGTAGATCTTTGCCCCTGTTTGGAATAATTAGTTAAAGGCTGAAGGTTCCTGCTCGTTTCAAATAAAGTTAAAGTATCATCTGTGCCTGTTCACTAGACCTTCCAAAAAATGCAGGAAAAAACAGGCTGGAAATAAATAGGAAAAACTAGCTCCAAACAAAGAAAGGTCCAAACTACCAGAATGGAAAATGAGATTTTCATAGTTGAAAGGTGACGCCATCCCAGCTTTTTCATTTGGAGTTTGCCTCTATTGTGAGTTTTGAGTCACGGGGTTCAGCCAAGCTCAGGACAGACACAGCAGGAAAAAAGTGAGCATCTGTCCCATGACGGTGTCATTCCCAGCACTGATGCAAGAGAAAGGACAAACCTGCAGGAAAGGGCTGCAAGCTCATAGTGGTGAGGATGGCACAGGCCACCTTATGCCCATGATATAACGCAAATTTACCACAATAAAACCATGGCTTGACTATATGCTAAAAGTTTGTTCCAAAAGAAAATGCTCGAGTTAATTTTTCAGGCTAAATGTTTTAGATGGTAAAGACAACACAAAGATCTATGTCTTAAAAAAAGAACCAGAACACACTCTGTAGTCTTTATTTCCATTAATACTGGAAGCATTTAAAAAAAAACAACAACCACTGTATAGCACCTTTGGGGGGAGGTTTACATATTGTATCCGTACAGCAGTATGCAGCAGCAGAAACACACAGCTACTACAACATAAACCTATATGTTTCTGAATGGAAGGTATTTAATTGGGACAAACACCTCCCCTTACACAAATATCTCTCTGAATTTTGATGGCAAGCTCAAAGCAGCTGAAGAACTGGGATTCTCAGCATCTCTTAGTATTTTTATAGCAGGAATTAGCAGCCGAAAGTACGTTTGAAAAATGTCTGCCTAACTGCTGCTCTTGGATGGAATTTCAGTTTTTCAAGTCTCAACAACATACATATTAAATTGTTTCATTACTTGGCTCTTTGCCTCTGAATGAGGTAACTCATCAGCCTGCTAAATCTGTAGCTGGGACTGAGCAATCATCTCTGCTTAAAACCAATTGTGAAGCAAATGCTGGCGTGCTCCGCCCTCCTCGGTGGGTTACTGCTGTACTGCAAACTCCTCACTGGCATTTTGGTTGCATTTGAGAGCCTCAGTTGTGGAAAACATTATAAAAAGTCAGAACAAAACAATCATCCTTGTCCTAAGGATCCTCCAGTGCGTTGCTGTCCTTTTTTTTGCAGTCAGTCTTCATGTGTCCTTCTCCTGAACTGCAGCTGGGCTCAGCAAGTTGCAGTCACTGGAGTTAATGGAGTTAGATCTGCACAGCACCTTGCCAGTGAGCCCAAGGAGACCTTTCTCGCACTCCTTCCAGTAATACTTTCTTTTTGGATAATACCTTCGTAAGGACAGTAGGAAAAAATGAAAACCCAGCGTCACACTTACGTGAATATAACCAGAGTCTGTCTTGCTTGATACTGGTAGCAGACAGCCTCTCAGTGTGAAATTTATGTAAGTAATTATAAACCAACTTTTTGAGGTTAGTGTCCAGTTTTGCTGCTGCTTAGCACAAGAACAAGAGTCCAGAAGTGTTTTTTTATGTTTGACTACCTTTGTTATTAGTTTTTCTTTTTTTGTGTGTGTTTTTCTTTCCCTTAGAAATGTAAGGGCTATGAAGTCTGACGTTTCGTAGTTTTACTGAAGGACATCTTAAAAGTCTTACAAAAACATACCAAGGTGATAGAGACAGTAAGCTTTGAATGTGTAGAATAATCACCTGGAGCTAATTAGTGGTTTGTAGTTTTAATGGATAATCAAAGGCTGGGTTCTTGTACGAGACTAAGTGTGTACCATATTGCTCGCTCTGAGGCTTTTTGCATGCCTTACACAGACATACAGACAAAATAATTGTGGAAATGAGAAAGAGTCCGCTTGCTGCAGACAGAGCAGCAAAGACAGACTTGTAGCTGGGTTTTGTTTTAAATCTGGTGCAGGAATTCCCTGGAACTCCCTGACTTGATATCTGGCTTGACCCTGCTTTGTTCAAAGCAGTCACGCAAATGTAGTAAGTGGTGTATGGTGATAGATTATACAGAGTGTACTGCCTTGCTGTGGAATAAATATTGTCCAGGACAGACCGTCTGTTCTCACCGCCTTGAGCGTGAAGCATCAGCTCGTAGGTGTGAACAACTGAATTTGGGGCGCACCAGTGTATCTGTGCAGAGCTGTCTGTAACTTCAGACACTTCTCGGAGCCTTGGTGGATCTGGAACCTCATCTTCCCTCGACATGCCAGGACATAAACACTGGGATGCACGCTGCAGTTCACTGCACGGCTTCTGAAGGTGCCTGCAAGGATTGTAGTCACAGATGGTGTAGGCTGGTTGCACGGGCGGGTCTGTTGAGTGGTCACCGTAATCGTAGTCATCTACAAAGTGTATCAGCGATCTGGTGGATGCCGGCTGCGACCGAGCAGTGGTCCTTGTGGAGTTCAGCTGCGGTAGGTTCGTTTGTGGTGTACCTTCCCCAGCGTGAGTGGCAAAGGAGTGAATATAATGGTCAGTGGCATTGGGATTTCCTGTTGCTCTAGTGGAATATTCACTAGTGGGCTGGTTGAATGGGCCTTCCTGGGGAAACGTCGCATCGGTTGTTCTGAGCTCTCCCTTTAGCTGATCTGTTCCAGTTTGACTTGTGGAGCTATAATCTGAGGACTGACTATAGAGCTCTTGGAGAAGCCCCAGGGAGGTCGTTATGGACATGAAGAAAGGAGGGGGATTGCTTCTGGGTTCGGAAACTGCCTCCTCTTGGTGGGAGGAAGTGTTGGCCTTGGTGAGCATTGGCTCAGTTGGGTTGGCTGCCGTTGTGCTCCTTACGTCCCTCTGAATTAGGGAGCTGGTATAAGTGTCTTTGCTTAGTGGAGCAGAGTCTGTTGTCGTTACTCCAGTAGTGGCGTCATAATCAGTAATGCTGAAAGCATCATGTTTGGGAGAGGGTGTGCTCGTGTTGGGCAGCGTGAGATTTTTCTCAGACTGGCATTTATCATAGAGCTCTAGCAGTGAAAAAGATGTTGAAGGTCTGCTCCAGTCTTCCTGGGATGTGTTGCAAGAAGTCTCCCTAGCCCTGCAGAGGGGACATGTCAGAATACACAAGATCCACAGAATGTTACAGGCTCCTTCCTGTAAGGCTTCTTGGATTGGAATTGGCAACATGCTTTTTGAAAACAATCTTTATATTAAAAAGACATGAAACCTACTCTGGAGCTAGGTTGTACTAACACACATTTTTTGGAAAAATGGGATCTTAGTTGACTGGCTTTTTGTTTTTGTAAGGTGCAGGAATATCTTTTGCCTTTGGTACAAGAACTGTGAACCTTAGCAAGAGTGTCAGGGTTCAAGGCAACTTGTCATCAAGAGTCAGTCTTTAATGCCCCACTAAGATGGGAACACACGCAGAGAGATGTAACAGGGTCCCCAAGATCCTTAAGCCAGCTAGTTTAGGCAGCTGGGCTGTGCTGACACAGGATGCGCTTTAAATGACTTAAGTTTTTCTTTACTCAGACGTTGCATGTTTTTGTAAAGAATGCAACTGCTAAGCCCATCCTGATGAGAAACAATCTAATTTTAACGATCTACTTTCCTTCTCTCTTAGCTACAAATGACAAATCTTCTTGGTGGCCTTTCAAAAGGAAGAGAGAGCACACATATGCAAAACACTTATTAACTGCAGCTTATTTTAATTAGTCTGTAAAACTGTGGGAGAACATGAAAACAATAGGTGACAAATGGTGTTATTTGGAAGGCGATTTGTTGACTGCCCGTGCTGGTGTAGGCTTTGGGAATGCAAAGGCAAGGAGGAAATAACTTGCTAAATTTTCTGCAAAGTCTTCCAGTTTTTGCTCCCAGTGCTAGCCCATCAAGGCCACCAAGCCAGGTAATTTTTTATCTCCAGCTAATAAGGAGATACGAACGGAAATAGAGAGAAAATAAGCTATTCTCACCTTAAAGTACAATTCACAGCTAATAACACATTATACCTTTCAAATGTGTGCCCATCACATTTGCTGGTGTTCAGGTATAATTCAGTCATGCTTTGTCGCTGAAGGGGGCTTCATTTTGCATTTCTACCTCTCGTGAAGGAAAAAAACACGCAAGGAATTTGAATAACTTATGTGGCAGTGAATGTTTGTCCCCAAATAACGTGTACGTTTGTGTGTGAAGAGCATTACTTTGTCTCCTTGAACTCACTTACTTTTGCAGCACAACTTCCTTGGGTTTGGAGAGCAGCCAGGAGAGCTGGCAGTCGCATAACAGAGGATTTCCGTACAAGTTGATGGTGATGCTATCTGATGAATTGGTATTCCAAGGATTAAAGGAACTCAGGTTACAGCTACAAGATGACAAATGAAATAATTAGCAAATGCTGAACTACCTTCCAACGACTGAACTATCCCAGTGTGTGTAAAACACAAAGCAATATTCCCGTTCCTCTTGGAAGTAGCCAGTCATCAACACCACCATTCTGCCCTTTAAAGCCCAGGCTAATAGCTGCTGGTCTCTCTAATTTGCTGCTGTGTGTTAAAGCATAACAAAAGCATTGTAAGGGGATTAGACTCTTGCCTATTAAAGTCTAAGGACTACTGCAAGAAGAGCGTGTTTGCCTTTGCTGTGAAGTGTCCTAGCTGCAGAAAGAGTGTGATACCTCCCGGCCGTCTGAGTGCTCAGAAGGTGCTTTTAAGTTTGGGTCATGATTTTTAGCACTTTGAACTGGTATTCCTGCAGGCACTATCAAATGCTGTGTAAATTCAGTGCAGCGATCTAGTGGGGCATGGAATCCACTGAGTTGTTTTGCTTAAATGGGTTTATTTTCCTGAAACAGGTTCCTACAGTGCAGACATTGCTCTAGTGTTTTGTTTTCTGATATGCTTATGATCTGGACCTATATTAGAGAAATCTTTTGAGGTGCTCTCCAAATCTTTTCCTTTATGCTGACTGTTCTGTGTACACTTTACCCACTTATATTTTGATAAATCTCTTTCAGACTTTTGTATCCCTTCATATTTCAACAGGTGTGTGACATACCAAGTAAATCACACTGCGGCCTTACCTCTAGAATAAGGACTAAACCATTGCCTTTACTAATGCTGAACAAGGAACTGTATGAATCTTTCACACTGGAAGCGGGAGGGACAGGATTTTTGCCTGCTTCCAAGGGGCAGTTTTTAGTAAACTGTCAGCATGCACCGTTTGTAGAGCAAGGAGGTCTCTGGTGAGACATCACCATTGTAGATGTTGGGAGCATCGTGTGTGTTGCAGATGGGCTTTGGTGGACCTATGCTAATCTTAACAGCACTAGAGAAATTCATCCATTGCACTGGGAGATAAGGCAGAAGGCTGGGAGCAGGACGGATGCGATCTCAAGCAACCAGTAACTGTGCTGTGAGTCTCAGGGCACCTCTTTGGGCCGTATGAGGTCTGTATCACAGGCTTTATGTGGCATGTCTGAGGTTAAGACAGAGGTTTTCTCTGTAGCGTGAAAGCCCATATCGCCTTCCTAAATATTTGATAACAAGCAAACTCTGCATAAAAATCATCTCCCAGGCGCTGTGGTGCTGTGAGGCAAAGACAATGTTATGTGAGGAAGAACAGAAAACAACTCACTTCTCAAATGAGAGATGGCTCAGATGGGGAGCACTGTCAAATATCTCTGTTCTCACAAAACTCAGTGAGCGGGAGTCTTGGCAGTTCAGCTCTCGGAGACTAGGCATGAACTTGAAGAAGTCAGTATCAAGGCTTCTTAATCGGGACATCTTTGTCAGGTGAAGTGATCTGAGGTTGGGCAAGTCTCTGGTCCATGCTGGCTGAACTGAAGCACAAAAAAAAAAGATTTATGCCTGTTGTCTAAATAGAGCATTTTCTGCCTGGAAAAAGGTTTTAAAGTCATAGAGATATAAAATATCTCTGTGGTCTTCTGCAGCTATTCTCTTTGGGAGAGAGAATAAAAATCAATACACCAGTGTCTAAACATCACATTTTTGTAATATTACCTGGAGGTCATACTGTCTTAGGGCAGAGGAAAATGAAGGAAGATAAAAGGCCAATAAAGCTGATAAGAGATAGAGCTTTCTTGTTAGGTGAGATTAAATGAACAATGGTTCAAGGAAGTGCTGGAAGATTAGAGAGGTCTACAAAGTCCTGACTGGTGTGAGAAAGGTAAATAACATTTCTCTTAGCACAGGAAGAAGAGCTGAGAGGCATGAAACTGAAAGAGTAGGTCTTATATCCCAGGGCCGCTGTAACTCGCTATTGCAGGAGGGATTAGGCAAATTCATGAAGGAAATTTGGTCGTATATCTGTTAAATGTGAGTTGAGGTGACGCTTGTAGCTTGAGGAGTCCCTAAAGCCCTGGCTCTGCCCCAGGCTGAGAGCAGCTGGGCAAGGCATCTGACATCTGTCTGCTTCAGCACCTCAGTTATAGACTGTAGCTGGCAAGAAAGGCAAACAAAAAAGAATAATCGTGCCTTAAATTGCTCGGGGCAGGGATTGTCTCCCTGTGCAGAAGTATTTGGCTGGTTGTGGTTGACACAAAAAGCCTCTCTCTGTGTTACTTCATCACAGCAGGATAAAGCAGCGTGTAACTGTGGGGACAGACAAAGATTTCAGCAGCATGTCTGGAAAGACAGCGTGTCCCAAAGCTAAACTCATGGCTGACAGCACAGTGACTGTCAGTACCAGACAGTGGAATTAGGATAGAGGTGGGTGACAACAGGGGACAGCTACCCTGTTTCCCGGTGTCAGGTCTCTGCGCTTCCTTGGGGAGGCTGGGCTGCATGAGGGTTTCTGTCCAGCAGTTACATCACCAGCTGGAGAGGGCCATGCACGCCTGGACCAGCTGCTGGCAGCTCTCAGCGTGCGGTGTTCCCTCTCTCTACCAGGCTCAGCAAGCATGGGAGCCACCGTCCCAGCAAGGCTTCTGCTTTTCCCGGCCTGACCAAGCCCCTTGTTTACAGTGGGAAATCCAGAAACTTACTTTTCTCAAGAGAGGTCCTGCTCAGATCGAGCATGCTGATGGTGTTTCCAGGCCTGTTTGTGGCCTCACTCCGAGATGTGTTCATGGCAAAAGCAGACTCCCTAATTCCTACGCTGTCGTCCTGGCCAAGCAGCGTTGCAGAGAGGTTCAGAAACTGTAGCTGAGGATAACAGGAAAAAGCCAGCGGCTGAATTTCGATCAGTGGATTTCCAGCCAGGGACAGCCACTTCAAGTTAGGCAGGGCAGAACTGTGGCATAATGGCACAGACAACAGCTTATTAAAGCTTAAGTCCAGGGATATGAGACTGGTGAGGGCTTCAGATCCCCACCTAACTGACTGGAGATGGTTCTGCCTCAGCATTAGGATGCGCAGCTGCGGGAGGTTTGCTATCACTGTGCTGTTCACCTCTTCTAAAAGGTTGTTGCTGAGATCCAGGGTCTCCAGGGTCTCCGGAAGGCAGACGGGGAAAGCCGTCAGGCTGCTGTTGGTCAGCTGCAGGGTGACCCAGGTCCTGTTCTTCTGATCCTCGCAGGACATGCTGGTGAGATTAACGTTCTCCCAAGAGTCTTCCTGAGCCAGCTGGAAAAAGGTGGTGACATCCCTGGATGCTGCAGGCTTTGCTCTGCTCACAGGGCCTGAGCTTGTGTTCCCCACCAGCAGAGAGAGGATGAGCAAGCATGGAAACATCCTTCTCCTAAGTAGCTCGCAATTACTTGCAAAATCTGTTTGGTTTTTTGTTTCAGGGAGAGGGAAACAAAACATCAGCATTAAGAGCTAGATTAAAATCCCTCCCGTAGCTACATGCTATTTAAAAGCGAGCGAAACATTTCTAAATCCTTTCCTATTGCATCCAGACAGTGGAAGTGATACTTAATGTCTCTTCTGTAATGAAGCCTAAGTAAACATGGGGACAAAAGCACCACGTGTCTAAGCATACCTATAGTTTTTCATGCAGAAAGCAACCAAGTTGTATTGCGCATCTGGTTCCCATGCCAGGATCAGCCTGGCACCCAGAACCACAGCAGCGTGGGAGCAGGGCTCCTCTCTCCAGCAGCAGAGGAGTACAAAGGAGTACCAGTGCTACGTTAGTATGAAAATACCAGTTAGTACTATACTGGGCAAGCCACAGGACAGCTGCACTTTGAGACTCGCCCTCTTCCTCTGCTCCTGACCAGCTGGCAGTGCCCCAGACCTTGTCTGCCAGGCAGCGGCAGAGCTGGGGTCCTGCTGCAGATGAGAACCGCAGACGTGCTACACACCCCAGCTCCTGCGGAAAGGTTGCACTGAAAATGTGGTTCCCGAACCACATTTGAGTGAAAGTGGTCAGAAATTAAGAGTATGCTCCTGGATCAGAGCCCCAGAGGCCTGGATACCAAGAAGCATGTTATTTAGTGTTATAGTTCCTTCTGTGCTCCCTCTTTGTCCCACCCCAGCTTTGTCTTTGTCGTGTTGGTTTTTTTTTTTGGAAAAAAAAAAAAGTGAGAGAAAAAAAGTCCTGAATGACTTGCCCAAGGCTGCCATCCCAGATCTGAGGTAGGGACTAGCAAAATAGGATGATTTGGTTGCCTGTGTGCTTTTTGTCATCGGGAACTGGGCAAGAGCTGAGCAGCCTCAGGGCTTCCTGGTCACTGGGGCTGCTGGATTCCCAGCACATGGCAAGGAGAGTGATAGGGCAGCTGGATCCCGATCTTAGATTTAATCTTAGTCCCTGGCTCTAAACCGCATCCGCTTGCACGTACCTGTCCAGAAGTCCTGATGCCTCGTGGCTTTGCTCTGCGTGGCTCCGAGTGCCTGGCCTTGATTTTATACACTTGGGTGACTCAGCCGAGAGCGTGAAATGCCTCTTTTTTGTTCCCAGCTTTCCCTGCTCGCGGCTCTGCCCACAAGTGCAGGCGAGGTTTGTTCCAGGCTCGCTCCCCCGCATCCAGCTTTCCCCTGCCTGCAGAGGGGGTGGCTTCAGGCAGCTTTCCCACTTCCTTGGCCCGAGCAGGAGGTGGGTGGGAGGGCTCTTGTTTCCCAACACTCAGACAGGGCTATTCGCTCTGTCTTTGTCTAAGCAGAGAGGGTAAAGAGAAAAAAGATCAGTGTCTGTACGCCTTCCACTGACGGGGGGAAGGGAGAGGAATTACTGTTTCTTTGCTGACAGGTCAGGATGATGTAAAGCTGACATGCGCTTTGGTCGCTCTGTAGGCGCCAATAAAAGGCTTCAAGTGTTTATATTTCTCTCAAAAATTCTTGCACTTGGGAAAGTCCTGAAATTTCACACAGGACAAATAACTCTTCCAAGGAGGACCTTGGGAAATGTCAGAAGCAAAGCGCTCATTTGCCGCTCCTGCAGAGAGGAATTCTCTCGGCTGATGGAGAAGGCCTGTGGCATCTCATGCTCAGTGTGATGGACTTGGGAGGCCTCTCCCAGTCCTGCTGTTGTGTTCTCTGCTCTGCACTTGCTGTACCGTGTGGCTCCGGAGAATTCCCTTCATGTCCCTTCTCTCCTCCTTTGCTGGAGAAGTCAAACTGACATTGTAAAACATCTCCCACCAAGGGACCTGCCCTGAGTTTCTCAACATTCCCACCACTCCAATAATAATTTGGCTGATCGAGATCTGAGAATAAAGCCAGGAACTGGAAAGGGATGAATTGATAGAGATTGTTCCAAAATAAAAGCAAAAGGGTGGTCAGTTCCTGTTGTAAGATATTTAATGAGTAAAATTTCCGGGGAGAACAGTAGTCAGTGCTTTTCATCTGTCAGGACAACAAAACCATTCCATGACACGGAGGCAACACAGACTTGTATGCTTTGGTGCTAAAGTGCAGATAAAGGTCTTCCTTTCCCAAAAACCTTGAGTCTGCATGTACGCAGACTTTATCTATTGACCGTGTCATTCATTATCTGCATGGGGAGAGAGCCTTGAAAAACACCAGAACATCCAGAGAACAAGATACAGTCTTTTTTGTAGGACTCTGCGGAGCCATTGCAGTTCCCTTGGAGGGTAGGCGAGATGTACATATTGTTCCCATGTGGAATGGCTCTAAGGCAAGACAAATAGTTTCCCAAATGAGAGGCTAATCCTGCAGCTTGACCCTGGTGGAGCAGCTCCCAGGCCCGTGCTTAGGGCAGAGTGCAGGCCAGGCACGTAAGCACCAACAGGTACCTTGAGAGATCTGCACTCTGCTAGGTTCAAAGGGCAAACTGGAGCAGGTTAAAAAAATCTGAAGAATTTAGTATGATAGGAGGGAAGTGCAGCCCTGGCCAGGCGGGTGGAAACCCTGCCTTCCCTCTGGCTTTGCAGATCTGCTGCCAGCAAAGCTCCTATTGGAGAAACTGGGGAGCAGGGAGGTGGCCTCTCTTTGCTTTGGGCAATTAAGTACTTGTGTTGTGTTAGCCAGTATTGATGGGCAGTGAATTTTCATTAGTTATTGCATTGCTTTTAATCTCTTAAAAAACTACTCCGTGAAACCTGGAGAGCCAAATGCTGCCTTGATTTTAATGCGTTCAGCTTTCCTGACTTCATTTTGGAGGCTGAGACAAGCAGCCTTGTAAGACTGGAAAAGCGGCCCAGCAAGCGGCTGCTCATTTCAGTGAAGGTGGAAGGGAGGTGGAGTCTTTGCCCAGAGGCGCTTGATTTCTGAGTGAGACAGAGAACCTCTTGCAAGAAGCAGAGCACCCTTGGAAAATGAGCTTTTGTTATTTCAATTTTCCGCCTTTGTCTCTGCTTTTTGGATGCCCAGTTTTTGAGACAGGTGGTGTATCCTCCCAGCTCTTTGCCTACCTGTAAATTCTAACTCTCTGCAATATTGCAGCTATGGTGCTACATCTCAACCAGCTGCCCAGCTATTGGTGAAGGTTTCCCCCGGGCAGATAGCAGCCCTCTTCACCAGTTGCTGTGAAATCATGGGGTGGCAGCAGGCAGAGATTTCCCCTTTGTGAGTCACTTTGGTCTGTTCTCACTGTGTTTCTTCATGCTATTCTTCTCCTTTATTCTGCTTTTCTAAGAGTTTCAGGGACAACACCGGGGTTTTGTAAAGGCAGGCATTTTTGCCGGCCTTTTCACATGGATGATGCGCAAAGAGGTGAACCAGATGCCCTCTCCCCGGGGCTGATTCAGTGCTGCACAAAACCCCTCTGCTTGCAGGAA